TAATAAGCTAGAGTATATACCACTAAAGTATAACTCCTGCTGTATATATATTAGCCAGAATGTATACCACTAAAGTATAAATCCTGCCATATATATTAGCCAGAATATATACCACTAAAGTATAAATCTTGACTTATTAATAAGCTAGAGTATATACCACTAAAGTATAACTCCTGCCGTATATATATTAGCCAGAATGTATACCACTAAAGTATAAATCCTGCCATATACATTAGCCAGAATATATACAACTAAAGTATAAATCTTGACTTATTAATAAGCTAGAGTATATACCACTAAAGTATAACTCCTGCCGTATATATTAGCCAGAATATATACAACTAAAGTATAAATCTTGACTTATTAATAAGCTAGAGTATATACCACTAAAGTATAACTCCTGCCGTATATATTAGCCAGAATATATACAGCTAAAATATAAATCTTGACTTATTAATAAGCTAGAGTATATACCACTAAAGTATAACTCCTACCATATATATTAGCCAGAATATATGCCACTAAAGTATAAATCTTGACTTATTAATAAGCCAGAGTATATACTACTAAAGTATAACTCCTGCCATATATATTAGCCAGAATATATACCACTAAAGTATAAATCTTGACTTATTAATAAGCCAGAGTATATACTACTAAAGTATAACTCCTGCCATATATATTAGCCAGAATATATGCCACTAAAGTATAAATCTTGACTTATTAATAAGCCAGAGTATATACTACTAAAGTATAACTCCTGCCATATATATTAGCCAGAATATATACCACTAAAGTATAAATCTTGACTTATTAATAAGCCAGAGTATATACTACTAAAGTATAAATCCTGCCGTATATATTAGCTAGAAAATATATACCACTAAAGAATAAATTCTGACGTGCTGATAATCCAGAGTATATAGTACTAAAGTATACATCTTGAAGTATTGATAAGCTACACTATATACTGCTTATTTCAAAGAACAATATATACAGGAAGTGAACTGTACTATTTCGAAGATCAAGAAGATATGCGAGAATGTGTTTTATTCGTACGCTATATGCATGAATCCTGGAACAACTTCAACGGAATGTGTTCAATTTCCCAAGTATGTCATATTATTGGTTTAATGTTCCACATCTGTTACAGGAAACACGAATCTTGATATGCTGTAAAATTATGTTTTGCTACAATTGGAAAAATTACAACCTAACTTCTTATTCCAGCAGGATGGTGCCCCTCCTTCCATACTGAAGCCCTAGCGTCGACAACACACTTGAAGAAACATTCACTAGGTGGTAGGTGGATTGGGAGGGGAGGCTCGATTAACTGGTCTTCGCTTTCTCCAGACATTACTCCTATGTTTTTTGTTGTTGTTTTTTGAAATAAAGGACGTAATTTTACGCTAGTAAGGTTGGGAGTAAAGATGAACTGTGTCAACATATCCAAGAAACCTCATTAAGGTAACTCCAACAATGTCACAAACACTTGGTAAGAGATTGAGTACAGACTGGACATTTTGCATGTAACTCGTGGTGTATATGTTAGCTGTGTTGAGTGTATGCTGTAAACAAACCTTAAACAATATTCTTGCACGTGCAACAACTCGTGGGTCGCTATGTTAAACGGTCTTCCCGGTACGATCTTTCAAAAGTGTTTCCAAAATGGTTGAACACGCTATACATCTATACAATTGAGCAAATATGGTTTTGAACATCTAAAAAGTATGGATTCCTTTGGATGGATGACTGACCAGAAATATGCTTGAGTGCTCACTCTACGTTTTCAGCAGCCTCTTTGCTTTCTATTATTACTTTTCTATGCTTATGCGTATGTGTGTCGAATCCAGAAACTTAATGCGTTAAAATTATTCGGCAGACTTTTATTAAAGTTCGCAGAATCGCAGAAAAATATCGTTCAATATAGTGATTACTTGAGTGTGCGCAAAAGTGGAAGTAATGTGAAGAAAAGTATAGTTAGAGTTCGTAAAGTTGTTTTCAACATATTCACGTAAACTTTCTGCAGCTCACAAGTCGTTATAATAAGTTTCCAATCATCGTGAAGTACCTAACAAGACAGTAAAGGACTTCTTCGCCTTAATGCGTAAATTTGTTCATCGTTCTACGACTGCGCTATAAACTGATAGTACTATTAAACAATAGAATAAATCCGTCATTGGTATGTTTTAAAATGTTAATACGCACGTAGTTAATATATTACAGATATAAAAGTAATAATGTAAACTTAATTTTAATCATTTTATAAACACGCTCCGTCAAATTTTTTGTTAGGACTGACTATGTTTTAGTACCTTTTTGTCTTCCTCAAAATAAGTGTTGTAATCCCCCTTCCTCTGCCCCAAGGTGCCACACCTGTTAAGCCTAATGTAGAACTCATAACGCTTTTCGAAAGAACCATTGATATAAACACAGTCAGGATCGTGAACGTATCCAGTACTGTACACTATCCCGGAGAAAGTGCCATTAAAATGAAGGTTGATCCTCATGTAGTTGTCATAGCAATCCGCCGTGATATCTGAAAAGAAGAATCTCTATCATGACATTAACCAAAAATGAAGCCAAACAGAGTAATTGTTTTTAATTAAATCAATTAAATTTTGCAATTTTTAATTAAATACAAAACCCCATCTCTTCACATTACAACATTCCCCTGCAACATAGTGAAATGTTTTAATTCATAAACGTTTAGTAACTAGTAGCAAATATATAGTATTCATAAGCATCCAAGTGTTCGTGTATATATCTTGAACATGAAACCAGAAGCAGAAGTCATGATACATTTATGTTTACAAAATAAACAAACAATTCCTATAAGCATATATATATTTCTATACACAATAAAATATGTCAAACAACATTATTTTGGTCGGGAAAAAGTTACTTTTATGTTATAGTTTTATTATCTCTTCCCCATTTTTATCATTGGAATAGTTTACTAGGTGACATTTTCCCAATGAAAAAACACAAAAAAAAAACACTTACAGTTAACCCTAATCATGTTCATTGAGTACCTTGACGAAAAGTCAAAAGGAGTGATGTTAGGGAACTCTGGCCGATAAGCTGACAAAGATCCCCTTGCTTGTGTTCGCAGGCTTCCTCCCCATCCTTGATTGTCTACATCTCCATGTAAAGGTTGACGAAAAAATCTCTCCAAAACTGATTCATTCTCTGATCCAGACTCTTCGATAGAAGGTGCACTGCTGACCTTGGCTGCTAGTTTATGATTATTGAATTCGACGGTGAAGTTTTTGAATGTGATGTTAGGAGCTTCCAATTCGAAATCACTTGTTATACTGGGAATTTTTAAGCTATCTTCAGCTCCTGACTGAAAATATACCAAATAGATTTATATTCAAAAATTTATTCTAAAGTGAAATTCCTTTGAAAGCAGAAATTATATAATGAATGTTTCTGAAAACAAACCAATAAACACTGTGAAATATCCTCTTTATTCTGCTCTCATTGTTGCGCCATCTGTGAATAGTAAGAACAACGAAGAAAATCACATCAATTTTCATTGCACGTTTTTTACATTAAGTAAAAGCTACCAGTGCCCAAAATTACAGCGTTAATCAGAATATATGCGCTATAAAAGATCTTATTAAAGCACTAATCTTTAAAACATTCAAAATGGGATAAAACATTGAAAAGCTATCCTAAAAGCGCGTTTTTTCCCTGATAATGCGGATTCCAGTAGTTGTTTATAAATCAGATCTATTTCTACGAAACTAATTACCTGAAATTTGTTTAACAGTGGTAGTTTCATTAATTAAAATGTACATTCAAAGAATATCAGGGTGTTCTAAATTAGTTGAGTCGAACATAAGTGCATATGATTATATATATAAAAAAAAACTTTACCCTAGTTCTTATTAGTTTACATGGAAAATTTTAATGTTTTTATAGTTTCCAGAGAGTAAATTTTGATTAAAGGGCCATAGGTGTGTAGCTTTTCTAGATGGTGCTAGCCTAGGTCGTTCCTGTCTTCTAACTTATTAGCTGGGCTTTGGTGGACTGTGACTGATCATAAGACTACAAATGCAACTGTCACTTTGAGTGATGAAATTGTCGTAATCTGAGTCAACTTAATTGTGATTGGTTCAACTACTATAGGATATCGCTTCTTAAGTCTAGTTAAGACTTCACAGGATACACTGCAACTTGAGAATCGCCCTTTATTTGCGCTGTCCTGTGTTCTAGTATCCGAAGTTTCATTTTCCCTAAAATGTTTTGTTTCAGTTAAAGTACCTCAACATTCATTTCTGTATTTTCTTCTGGTTAGCTCAGTAAGTTACACTGTTTTGTTTTATGTTTAATTTTGCATTCTTCTATTTCGCTTTGATAACTGAAATGATTTAATGATTGATTGTTCGAAACATGCAAATAAAATCTGTGAAATATCCTCTCCATTCTGGTCTCACTATCGCGCCATCTGTGAACAATAAAAAGAACGAAAGAAATCATATCGATTTCCATAACACTTTTTTCCTTGTGATTATTCGTGTCAAATTCTGAATATTTCATGTTCACTGAAGTATTGTATCGTTTCTCTTTCTAGGCTGTTTTAGTTCTTTACACCAACCTCGGTTATCCAAAGTCTCGAACCCACTTATCCATGAATTGACTTTATTTCCATCACACGAATGCCAACCACATCAACAATTGTCATATTGCACCGATTAACTTCTTGAATAACAACTTACACAGACTTCAGCTGCTCGTGGACTATACCTAGTGAATCCAGAGAAAGTGAGAATGGTATAGTAATTGGGAATGACTCATTAAAAAAGATATTTTGAAAATTTACCGAAATGGGAACTCACTTGAAAACCTACACTATTAAAAACTTGATTAGTTTTATTTTCTGACATATAAGAAAGAGAGATTCACACATTTGTAGATATTCTAGTTAACAAAGCATTGGTGGTAGCAGATGCTTCTGGCTGGCTGTCTTCCCTCCGGTCAGTAGTTCAAAGTTATGGACAGCTATAACTGAATCGTAGGGGTTTTTTGATCTAGCCGTTCAGTCCACTTGCGCGTAAGGTGCCGTTCAGATTGAAAATTCCAATTCCAAAGGCAGTCAACTATATTAAACATTATTACATGCTAACACATATTTCCACGTAAAGGTATAATAATGTAAAAACCCTATTAAAAATAAGAAGTAAAAGCTACTTGTATGCCAATACCATGTAATGCTTTGTTTTTTAAAATTATATTTAAGTAATATTTGTTCAGCTAAGCAGTGCTTTTTGACTC